TCGTCCCCTAAGTCCACGCCCTCGTCCCCTAAGTCCACGCCCTCGGCTCCTAGGTCCACGCCCTCGGCCCCTAAGTCCACGCCCTTGGCCCCTAGGTCCACGCCCTCGGCCCCTAGGTTCATGTCCTCGCCCCCTAAGTCCACGCCCTCGGCCCCTAAGTCCAAGCCCTCGGCCCCTAGGTCCACGCCCTCGGCCCCTAGGTTCATGTCCTCGCCCCCTAAGTCCACGCCCCCGGCCCCTAAGTCTGCCACGCCTCCGCAGAAGCCACTCATCGTCGCAGGAAACAAGTTGAGTCGCTTTGTTGTTTGATTCTTGATGTTCTGTTGAGCCTTGAAAGATGTTTGATGTTGTGTGCAAGTTATGTATACTGTCTCAGACACTGCTGAGGGAACGCGCCTCATTGTATAATTGCAGTGATTGGTAATTAGTCTTTGCTCATATCCAACCTCAGCCGGACACTATGTCCACGCCAAGGTGGAGCCAAGACGTGACCAAACCAGCAAAAGTGCAAACAAATGTACTGAATGATGTCAATTTAAAAAACAAGAGCCTTAAAGCGAGACTGTAACAGAAAGGGTCCATAGTATTTCTAAGTATCGTGTTATTTGGTCTTTTTTTTTTGCTTTCAGAGTTTTAGTTCAAATAAAAGTATCGAGCATTTAACATTTGGGACAAGATGATTGATGCCTGCAAGAAAGTCTTGATATTAAATAATATTGAATCTACTAGTTATAACAACTCTTTTACATTTAGTTATTAAAAGTAGGAGAAGGGAAAAGAAGGGGATTTGCTTCTCTTCCTCGTCTTGTAGCAAGATGGTCAGTGATGTAACCACAGTGCCTTTTGAGTCCCTGTGAAGAGGAGAGTTTTCTAACTTTACAATATATTGTTCCTCATTGTTTTCTCCCAGTTCATTTTGTGGATAACTGTGTTTACACGTGTGTGTGTGTGTGTGTGTGTGTGTGTGTGTGTGTGTGTGTGTGTGTGTGTGTGCATTTAGGTACTACATGTATCTTCCCCTGGAGAAGGAGAAGCCGTGCATCAATGTGCTGAGTAACTGGGAGAACAGAACCTACCGACTCTACAACTCTAATATACTGGAAAACATAGCTGTGCTGTTTGTATGTACACACTCATACTGGATCTGTGTGTTCATGAATGTATAGTATTACAGTGACCACAGAAAAACCTACCTGATGGCCAGCTTCAAAGCCATCGCAGTAAAAACACAAATACTTATTGTCTTTTAGGAGGAGGGTGTCGCCGGTGCAGCCAAGCTACACAAGAAGTCAGATCCGGGGGCGGCGCATATGCTCAAAACCATCCTCAAAGAATTCTGTATGGACGCCAGGTATTCAGACAATCTAATCAGAACATGATGACACTGTTTATGTCTCACTGCAGCAATGGTGGGAACGTTTAACAGCATTGCTTTAGGAGAGATACTACAGGCAGAAACATTGTTTTTCATGTACTGATCAATTTAGAGATGTTTGGTCTATTTTGCTTCCATAACATCTTCTTTCAGACTAGTGGAAAGAAAACATCTGTTTATTTTACTACTATGTCTTTTTGCCTTTGCAGATTTCTCTTCAATTCACCAAAAGTTACCATTAGATAATGCTTCATTTGCATATTTAAACAAAAGATTTCCAAAAACTAAAACAAAATATAATTGACTTAACTTGTAGGACATAAAATGACAGCGAAACTGTTCTGTGTTCCTGCAGGAGTTTCATAGCAACAGCGGAGGACAAGTTGAAGGCAGAGCTAAAGTCGAGCTACCTGACGCATCTGGACAGGAAACGCCTCACCCTGTGTAAACAGGAACTGGTGGGAAAATCTGACATACACACAAACACAAACTGACAATACCTCCTTAAATATCAACAGCTACGTCTTTGCCACGAGGCCTTAGGTGAAGACTTATCAAACGTATTCATTTATAGTTTCACAGCGCAGTGGATTTATGGATTTGTTATTAATTAGGACTGCCAACGTCGCTGGATTGTTTTTCAGTGGCAAATGTGAGATGATTACAAAAATGTTCTATATGAAAGACTTAGCGTGGGTGACCTTTCCCAGGTCAACAGTTCATATAAAATGTGTTTGTTTGTGTGTGTTACAGGAGAGTATGATAGGAGAGGCCGAGTCCATGGTAGAGAGTAAGAAGTTAGCTGGTGGTGTGAAAAAAATGCTGCAGAATGCAAAAAAACTACTGCAGAAACTACGCTTCCTTGTGGAGGAGGTACGGGACTCACCCTGTGTGTGTGTTTGTGTGTGTGTGTGTTTCATGTTTTTCCTTATTTACCTTATTACATCCAAACTTTTCTCACACCCATGTGCACGCCCTCACACTCCGCTGCAGCCCCAGCACACAGTGCCCGATGTGTTTGTGTGGATGTTAAGCAACAACAAGCGCGTTGCGTACGCTCGGATCCGTGCCAGAGACCTGCTGCACTCCAGCAGCCAGGAGGCCCGAGGAATCCACTGTGGCAAGATACTGACACTGTTTCTAACGGTGAACGCACGCACACAAACATTACCTAAAGTTAAGGTGACAGTTTCGCAAGCACGCATCCAGGAAGAGGCTAAATAAACTAAATAAACATGCAAATATAACGTAGCAAAACGGCGAGTGGGCAAAGCTTGTATACAAATAGACTGTGGATCTGGGGTTGGCTTTCACTCCGAGGAAAGCAGCCTAACCCTATCCATGGCCAGGGGTCGTGCAGTTCTGGTGTCGTTGAGCCGGGGCCAATTTTGAATGTTGTGTTAAAGGGGACATATCATGAAAAACTAACTTTTTGTGCTTCTGCACATTCATTTAGGTATCCTCAACCAGTGAAATATAACAACCATGTCAGGTTTTTTTTTTTGTGGTCTGACTAAATCAGAAAACATGAGATTCAACAAGCCAATCAGAGCAGACTGGGTTTTTGTGGGAGGGGGATGGCTTAAAGAGACAGGCACTAAAACGAAGCATTTCAGACAGAGGGTGAATACAGGTACATTCAGACAGACAGCATGAGAAAAATAATGTGTTTACATGCCGTTAAAGCATGCAGAGATAAACTCATGTGTTTGTATGTGTGCAGCCTCCAGGGAAGCGTGGTGCAGACTTGACAGTCCAAGCAAAGGTGGACGTGTATCTGTGGTATGGAACCTCTTCCGACTCCATCCACATGCTGGACGACTTACCCGCGGGGTACGGTCTGGCCACAGAGGGCGGCAGCGGCCCTCCAACAGCCCTGCTCTGTGCAGGTGAGAGACAGACCGACCATTACAGTCCCTCCTTTTTTCTGCTTATTTTTTGGCATTTTGTCTTTAAACTTCACACATTGTAAAACGGTCAACACTTACTGTTTTTGGAGGTCAATGTCAACAAAATAAATTTTTAACTGCTACCAAACATAATTCTGTCTTTAGTATTTGCTTCTGGCATTTAAATATTACAATTTCTATGGTAAGAGGAAAAATAAGATTTTGAGAAGTGGGTCAACTGATGCTTTAAAGTCAGCCTAAACTACATTATATGGTGCGTGTTGGTCTGCGTCTCCAGTGCAGCACACGTTCCAGCTGAGGTGCCACATGTATCAGGCTCGTGGTCTCATCGCCGCGGACACCTCCGGCCTGTCGGACCCTTTTGCCCGAGTCACCTGTCTGTCACACAGCCAAACCACCAAAGTAAGTGTTTTGTTCATGTTCCTAGAATGTCAGCAAAGTTTCTCTGGGATGCTGATCGTCACTGTGGTCAAACCGCAGATCGTGCTTATAGTTTTGCAAGCTGTGCTTCAATTCACGGACACAAACAAAGACGTGTAGTGAGGAGTGGTGACGCAGCTGATGGAAAAGGTCAAACTGCTACTTTACTGTAACCTGAGTGTTGATTTGTTATGGGACGACAGAGGACTATAATTATTATAGACACATCCTTGGAATGCATTATATATTAAAGTGTAGAGCAGCAACAATTAGTCGATCAACAGAAAAGTAATCAAGCGAAAATGCTGTTTTCAGCCTCTCAGATGTGGAGATTTCATGCCTTTCTCTGTTTTATATCATATTGAACTGAATATCTTTGTGTTTTGGACTGACAAAATTGTTAATTGCTTCTTACTGTGTTTATGTTGTGTGTGTGTGTGTGTGTGTGTGTGTGTGTGTGTGTTGACGTCAGGTGATCAGTCAGACTCTCAGTCCGACATGGAATCAGAGCTTGCTGATGAGCAGCCTGCTGCTGATTGGAGATCTGTATCACATCCAAAAGGAGCCGTTGCGCATTCTCGTCGAGGTGTACGACGAGGACATGCTGGTAACGCTGCAAAGATGGATTGATTGACAAATTAATCAAGTAATGGTTTCATATTCTAGATATTCTGCTGCTTAACAGATCTTGTGACCGCCTCTCTCTGATCTGCCATGCGCAGGGTAAGCCGGAGTATCTGGGATCCACAGTGGCGGTGCCCGAGGTCCGCTTGGCCTCTGAGCCCTACGCTCCTCCAACTCTGCAGTACAGCCCGCTGCACTGCGGCAGCCAGACGGGAGGAGACCTGCTGGCTGCGTTTGAACTGCTGCAGGTCAGTGGACGACCGTTTGGTTTCCCTCACGATGACGCAGCATGGAACTGTAATGAGGAATGTAGAATAACGCACGAGTATCACTGTGATGAATCTGTAGATCCCAGAGTCTGGAGAGAGGGGTCTGCCGGCATTGGAGAAACAGCAAGGAGGCTTCTACACGGTTCCTGCCAACATCAGACCGGTTCTCAGCACCTACAGGCTGGAGGTTTGGCTTTTTTAAATTATTTCTTTCAACGTAGCCAACAAATAACACTTTTGTTCTCATAATCCAACCCAACCACTTTGCTTCTGTGTGTTCTGTTCACCAGGTGTTATTCTGGGGTATGAGGGAGCTGAAGAAGGTTCAGCTGCTGTCTGTTGATCGCCCACAGGTACAACCCCCCCCCACCACACACACACACGCACACACACACACACACAAACACACGCACACACAAACAGAAAAAACCCAAGTCACATCGCAATCTCCAATCCCTAATCCCTGTCTCTCCTTTGACCCTAATTTGTTTGACCAACACAACACAGGTATCATCAGAGACAAGACTTCATGCTTTTGGAGTTACCTACAACGTCTTTGTATCTTTAAAAAATTATTCAACACTATGACAGTGAGCTTGATAGCCTTTTCAAGTCACTTATGTGAGGATATTCACAATTATCGCAATAATGAAAATTCACTTTTCATTTTTTGTTTTTTGCTATCCGCAATGAAATCCTATGTTTTGTCCCATAGTGTCAAGTCCATATCATTTTATTTATATAGACCACAAGAGTCTTAACAACAGCTTCTATCCTTTCACCTTTGATTCAGTGCCAGTAAATATTGAAGAAACCTCAGGAAGGATCATAGCGTCCTGTAAATGTACTCATCAGAAGAAAGGATCTGAGGAATGTAAAAATCTGATCATGAAATTGACTAACAAAACCGCTTCTCTCTTTCTCTAGGTCTTCATAGAGTGTGCGGGAATAACACTGCGTTCCTCCGTCATACAGAAGTACAAGTCCAACCCAAACTTCACCACGCTGGTTGATGCCATAGAGCTGGTAAGACCAATACAGATGTATAGACCTCACTGATCACCTTGCGTCTGAATGGGAGCAGATCCCTGAGTCCTTGGACCGAGTCTGACTGAATCCGTACATTTATTGGATAATGTATTGAATCTACCGTGCCGTCCTTTAGGAGCTACCAGAGAACGAACACCTCCACCCTCCTCTCAGCATCACCGTTGTCGACTGGCGGGCCTTTGGTCGCAGCACGCTGGTTGGAAATCACATTATCAACAACCTCAAGGCCTTCAAATACATTCCACCTCCAGCCCTGCCTGCTCCAGCCCTGCCTGCTCCCATACAGATACACGAACCGCCCAAGGACACGCCTAGACCTTCCCTGGCCCCACAGCCACAAAGCACTCAGGGTAATAAGTGTGTGTGAGTGTGTGTGTGTGTGTGTGTGTGTGTGTGTGTGTGTGTGTGTGTGTGCGTGAGAAACATTGAGGGATTTTATTTTACAGCCAGATTCAAAGCCACTTTAAAAGAAAAAAAAGTAATGTTTTTACATAACAAGATAGGGAAAAAACCTCTTTTCAAACATACGATACGATATACTCCATTGTCCACACAGGGATAATTTGTCTTGGACTCAAATGCTGCACACAAGATAGTCATAATACAAAAAGAAACAGCCACAGTACTAAAGGACATCACGACCACACATTACACATATTGCACATATTAAATAACCACGAATAAGGAAAAGCAACATATTGCACACTTGAAGAATATGTTCTCGGATGTCTCGGTAGTCAGAGCACATAATCAATATAAGTATAAAGTAGTCCCTGTGCTACATGATCTTTTGTCAGTATCCCTGTTATAAAGGATTACAAAATGATAATGAAGACTCTAGAGTGCTGCAAGAAAGAAAACCTGGAAACGAGTCAACGTTATTGCACTTGCGGTGTCATCGTCTCGATGTGTCGATGGAACCAATGAGATGCTAATTTCTAGGTTGGCCTACAAAAGCACGTCATCCCTTTATTGATTAGTCCTCCAGTCCTCTAGGCCCACTGATCGTGTCCCACCAGGAGACTGATCTTTGTCTTTTGTCCAATAGGACTGTACCAGTCTGCTGGAGACACCAGATGGTCTGCACCACTAAGAATTCAAGATTTCTTCATCACTGTGGAGGATGAAGCCCCTCCTCCACCTCCAGCCCCACCCACACCTAAGGAAGAACCCAAGAAGAAAAGGGTTACTGCATATTTAACTAAAGAAATGATTAGGTTCTTATGGATCCTATATATCAGTGTCTAACTATTCTTTGTGTGTCCTTTTTAAATCCAGGACACGCAGGCAGTAAGCACTCGTGGTCGTTCCACGAAGCGGACGAAGCGGACCGTCGCTGACGAATCAGCAGCGTGTGTCATCGACTGGTGGTCGAAATACTACGCGTCTGTGGAGAAACAGGTAGCTCTGATTCTTCCGTTTTTTGCTGCAAAAGATCTGAAACTTATTTTTACAAAATGAAACTGTGAACTTGTTCCAGGTCAAACAGGACGACTCTCCATTCCTCGAGGTCTTTGATAAAGGTAAGAACTCTGTGAACACTTAGTAATAAAACAATAATAATCTGATGATTTGATGCTTCGTCAATTGTCTGATTCCAGAAACATGACAATTAGCAAATGACTAAATCTTGAGAATAGTTGTATTAAAAGTCAGTATAGGGGATCAATGTCTACAACATAGGAATTAATTCCCATAAAAAAGTCTTTGTAGAACGATTCAGCTGTATTATTATTGTTCAGCTATTTCACCGTGAATGGAGATCTTTGCACATGTTACTTTTACCACTAATACTATCAACTAAGTCTAATATAAATAGCAAGTAAAATTGTGTTAGGGAGGGTTATCCCAGTACTTTCCCCCTCACACACACACACATTGTTGTGCATTGCAGCTTTGCCGTATCAGGGCTTGCTCAGCGATGGAATAGACTCCTTACGTAAGGACATTCAGCTTAAACAGTTGTTATTAAAGCTAGAGTACAGGACTTTGACATATAAATTAAATGTTGGGGGAGATGAAAGTTACACACTAGCTTTAAGGGACTTAGAGCACGTTCAGGCCATTTTTTAGCCTGTTAATTCTAACTTCCCTTGAGGAAATCTTCTGCTTGGTAATTGTTAACTGACAACTGGAAGGTCTGGGGACTGACTGTGTCTTGCTGGTTTCTGTGGTACAACCATGTAGATAAATCTGTTAGGCTGCCCTGCAGCTACCACTGTTACCCTCCAGGTACATTCAGCTGTGGTGTGGCCACTTTATTCTGGGGGATCAGTGTGGTATTCTTTAATGTTCCGGTGGGCAGCATGTCAAATGTTTCTGACAAATCCTCCAGAAAGGACAGGCAGAATTAAGTGGAAACAAATGATACAATAACAAGGGAAAACTCTCATTTTTTTGAGTTTCTTCTGGTGGAGACGAGGGCAACTTGGTTTAAATCCCAGACGTCACTCGTAGGTTTCTAAATGGCAGTTTGAAGCATGGAGTTTCAGAAGTTATTCTCTGCTATTAACCGCTTTGTCATCACGATGCAAAGAAAATGCTCTGGCTTTCTCTTCACATCCATGCCCGGTGCTTTGTGTCAGTGTTTATCTCCCATTTATATTGTTCTCCTTTATTTGTTCCATCAGTCAGCAGCAAGAAGAAACAGAAAGAAAAAGAAATCGTGGATCCAAAGCTCGGTCTGCCTAGCAAATTAGCCACACTCAAGGTACTCTGTGCACAAACACTGCAGGTTCAGGAAGACCACAGCAGACTCTCTGACTCCAACTTTCGTTATCATTGTCATTAGTTCACATTTGTATCATCACGTAAATCCCACCATAGCTCAGATCAGTATGCAAAAGATATATTCTTCTATTTTGTTCTAACAAGTATAATTCACATGGAGAAATGAATTTCAGATATGAATGTGAATTTCTGGTGCATTTGTTGAACATATAAACAGAATCGACATGTTGTAGTAGTAGAACAAAGGTCTGAGTGGAGTATGGGATTCTCCATCCTGCATACATTGATGCTGACAATCTCTCTGCAGCTGTACACCAAGGAGCTGGAGACAGACTTCGGCCCTTTCAATGATTGGGTGAACACATATGAGCTGTTCAGAGGGAAAGCCAACGAGGACGAGGGGGCGAATGAGGAGAGATTCGTTGGCAAATTTAAGGTGAGACAGTAAGGTTGATTGTCCTCTATGGGAACCAGTGACATGTCTTCACTATTGATCTGATCCACTCCGTGCATACTCTTCTCTGCAGGGGCGATTCTGCCTGTATAAGCTGGATGAGGACATGGCAGACGACACCGGGGACTTCAAAGTGAACAGAGGAATCCCTCCCAACGGACTGGTCCAAGTCCTCATCCGGGTTTACATCGTCTCTGTGTGTCCTCATTGCTAAGCATCAGTTTGACTACGAATGTTCTTAAGCATTTAGACTGAACGCACAGCTGTTGAGAGCGTCTCAGCATAACTGTTCATACATAAAACAGAACGTAAAAATGTTGGTAAATACATTTTAAAGTAACTGGGCTTTATTAAAAATGTCTGAAATGCATACAAGAATCAAACAAACAACAAAACATGTCGCATCAAACACGACATTTACTTACAGGTCAGGATAAATGTAGAGGCTAAATACAGCAGGTCTGTTAATGTTACGGAAGCCAAACAGGACCATACGAACAGGACCATACGAACAGGACCATACGAACAGGACCATACGAACAGGACCATACGAACAGGACCATACATTGGGTTGAAATACAGAACCCTCTTCCTTGTGAGACTAAACTAATCCAACGTGTTAACTGTCTCTCCTTCCCCTCCAGGCGTCTAACCTGCACCCAGCCGATGCGGACGGGAAGGCGGACCCGTACGTTGTTCTCCGGCTCGGCAAGAACGAAATCAAAGACAGAGACAACTACATCCCTAAGCAGCTGAATCCAGTGTTTGGAAGGTGTGTGAGCGGCTGACTGTCCCCGTGTAGTGAATCAGAGCCCCGGTAGTTTCAAGTTGTTTTAAAGCTCCTTTTTGATTCCTGATTCCAGATCTTTTGAGATGCAGGCGACGTTTCCTCAGGAGTCTCTGCTGTCGGTGGTGATCTACGACTACGACATGGTGGGAGGGGACGACCTGATGGGAGAGACTCGCATTGACCTGGAGAACCGATTCTACAGCCGACACAGAGCCACCTGTGGACTGCCGACTGAGTACAGCCTGTGAGTCTGGGTCTGCAGCTCCCTACTTATGTATTCATGGTTGATAGACACACTGAAAACAGCTGTCCGATGCAGGTATCATAGTGTTTATAGCAACACGTCCCTAGAAAGGATTTTACAATACAAGAGATTAGAACAGTGACTGAATACTTTGAGATATAAAGCACACGTTAATAACATTACTTTAATGAGCACAGGATTGTTGCTGAATGAAGCAGGTTTTGGTAGCTCTCTTGAAAGCTCCGTCATCTCTTGATGTATTTGCAGAAAGGCTGAGGAGTAAGTCCATTTAAAAACACAAGCTTTACATAATGAAAACCAACACAGTCTGCAAAACTTAGCATCTTTGCAGACATTGATTGTAATGACACTTTGGGTTTACTTACAGACTGGTTGGACTGGGAACCAGGCAGCTAAACCATTTAGTAGAGGAACAAATCACCCAAAAAGGCTTTAGTTTCTGAGATACTCGAGGTAGAACAAAGCACAATGATGTTCTTTCATAACTTTAATATGTCTGCAAACGTCAATACCTTTGGCCATCTTTGAAATGCTTATACTTAAACACATATGAATTATAAACCCGTTTTCCACTTGGTTCATTTATGTGAATTCTTCATCCTGCTGGTTGGAGTAACTCTTAATTCATGCCTACTTTATATCTGTGCTATTTGGTTCATTGTCATCTGAACAAAGACGTTAAAGGAGGACAAACTTAAAACGTTATCATTTACATGACTGCCATGCATCCCCTGCCCTTCTCTGTCTGTTAGTCACGGTTATAATGCCTGGAGAGACTGCCTGAAGCCGTCAGAGCTGCTGTCTCAGCTGTGCAACAAGAACGGTCTGGACGAGCCTGTGTTCAGTCCGGGACGCATCACTGTGGCTGGCAAAGTTTTCATTGGAAAGACGTGGTTCATACAAGAAGAAGGTAAAGACTGACACACTACATATTGCTCTTGGTCTTTCTCCATTTAACATTGATGAGCACTATATGAACATTTAATTCATGCTTTATGACTTTTTATGGGCTGCTATACTATGAGTTATTCATGACTTTTTATGACATACTATGACTTTTATGACCTTTTTTATGTCAGACTTTACTGTGACTTTTTTATGAAATAGAATGCTATTTATTTTTCATATTTATTTATATGACGTACTATACTATGACTTCTTTTCATGACTTTTTTAATGAAATTTGATTGATTTCTTTCTGACATACTATACTATGATTTTTCCTGACATACTATACTATGATTTTTTCTGACATACTATACTATTATTTTTCCTGACATACTATACTATGATTTTTCCTGACATACTATACTATGATTTTGTCTGACATACTATACTATGACTTTTTCCTGACGTTAATTCTAATCTTGTGTTGTGTGCACACGTTGCAGAAGAGCCGATGGAGTCCTATGAGCACTTGGCCCTGAAGATCCTGCATCGCTGGGCGGAGATCCCAGCCGTGGGATGCAAGCTGGTACCAGAACACATTGAGACCAGAACTCTGTTCAACAAGGCTCGGCCTGGCATGGAGCAGGTACTGTTCCACACTGTCTAACAAGATGGTTCTCTGAATGTATTAAGTGATAAAATCAAGACATTTTTACAAACTTTTCGTCAGACACCAAAATGTAATTTTGCTTTTGAGTGCCTTCAAGCTTTTTATCTTCAGATTAAAAGCTTAATTTCAACAAATTTAACCTGATTCTTTGGGTTGAGTGCTATCGTGTAAGAAAGACAGAGATCTGCAGATGTTGCTATAGTTGTTCAGTAGCGACATGTCTTTTTGTAGAAGCGTCTTTTCAGCACTAATTCATGACAGGAACCAGTATCTGATTTTCTCCTTTGTGTGTGTGTGTGTGTGTGTGAAGGGTCAGCTCCAGATGTGGGTAGACATGTTCCCCGTGGACTCACCTCACCCGGGACCTTCAGTGGACATTTCCCCTCGTAAACCAAAAGGGTGATTGCTGTCTCCCTCTGAAAGCCTGTTGAGTCTTAATAAAACAATATTTGTTCATGAAAAGGATGCTAACGCTCCAATGTGTGTGTATTCAGGTACGAGCTGCGTATCATCATCTGGAACACAGAGGATGTGATTCTGACGGACAGCAGCTTCCTGACCGGTGAACAGTCCAGTGATATCTACGTCAAGGGGTAACTACAAGCTTATCTGTTCCAAATGGAGATGTTTGTCAGACTCATGATTTGCTTTTAGTTTTCTGATATTTTCTTGTACAGAAATAAGTTGTTAGCCTGCTTTCCATCCCTTTTAATGTCAGGACAATGTCTCTGTAAACACTGCTACTGTCGATCGTTCTCTGTAGCTGGTTGAAAGGTTTAGAGGACGACCGACAGGAGACAGACGTCCACTACAACTCTCTGACTGGAGAGGGAAACTTCAACTGGCGCTTCGTGTTCCCCTTCAGCTACCTGCCTGCTGAGAAGGTGCTGACAAATAGACAGACGCAGGCTTACACCTTCTGAACGCTGCGGAAATAAGCACAACCTGGAAAACTATATCACGTTGTCGTCACGGCCATCTTTCCTTCTCTCTCTAACAGGTGATAGTGGTGACCAAGAAAGAGCATATTTTCTCTCTGGATAAGTCGGAGCAGAAGCTTCCTGCTATCCTCAGTCTGCAGGTCTGGGACTTCGAGACGCTCTCCTCTGACGACTTCCTAGGTAGGTGTGACTGCTTCTCGATGTTACTCCATTTGTATATTGGACTCTGATGCAAAGTGTGTTTTTGCGTGTGTCCCGTAGGCACGGTGGAGTTCGACCTCCACGATTTCCCTCGAGGGTCAAAGGCGGCAAAGTCATGCCAGATGGACATGATGACGGACGGGACGGAGAGGATCTCCATCTTCCAGCAGAAGAGATCGAGAGGCTGGTGGCCCTTCATTAAGTCTGGAGAGCTGACGGTGCGTACACACACACACACACACACACACACTGACAAAACACGTGTTGGGCCTTTGATTGATCGGTGTGGGTGTGCTCTGAATCCATCAGGGGAAAGTGGAGGCGGAGTTTCATCTTGTGATAGCTGAAGACGCCGAGAAAAATCCTGTCGGCCGAGCCCGCAAGGAGCCGGAGCCGCTGCCAAAGCCAAAGTAAGAGTCTGACATTACTCTGAACACAATGAAGTGTGTGCTTGTGTGTGTGTGTGTGTTTGTGTGTTTGTGTTCCTTTAACGGTGTCAACTCCAGAGGGAGGAGCTCATGAGGCACAGTGCAGGAAAATGTGACTGAAAAGATGTTCAAAACCAGAGATAAACACTAATACTACCATGACTCTTCTGAAAATATGTCCTCAACATTCGGAAGACGTTTATTTTTTATCAGAATAACTCAAAATATCAATGCTTCTAAACGTGCAACTGAATAAAAGTACTTCACTCCCGCTTCTCCTTTCTTTGTACAACAGTCGTCCAGACACCTCCTTCTCGTGGTTCATCAATCCATTCAAGTGTTTCTTCCACTTGGTGTGGGGGACCTACAAGAAGTACATCATCATCGGCCTGCTGCTGCTCCTCACAGCGCTGTTCCTCGCTCTGCTGTTCTACACGCTGCCGGGAGCCATTACGCAGAGGATAGTCAACGGGTAACAGACGACCACAGAGAACCACACTGTAGTTCCGAACATCTGTGCAAAGGTATGGATTGGGTGGACGTTTAGATGATGCGACACGCCCTCCTTCAACATGTACAGGAGGGATGAACTTACCTGTGAAGGTTTCTGCATCTATACACGTTAAAATAATGTATGTTTATATAAGAACTAGTTCATTAAGTAGAAGAGTCTGGACGTTAAGGTGTTTCTATTTGAATGCATGATTTACAGTTGGTCTCCTGATATTAGATGGTATGTGTAAAAGGGATAAGGTGCTTGTCAGATAGACCTGATGAAGAGTCACCATGACTTAATACGTTGTCATCTGTGCTCAATAAAGAAGTGATATAACTCTTAGCACGCAGGCTCTGCTGTTACTGTGTTGTGAATGCAAGTTCATTATAAAGTCAAATGTCTTGAAGCTTCTATCTCTTCCAATGAAGCCTCGAATGTTCGTTATCGTATGTGATAACATCAAATGTGACGAACAAGAAGCTTGAAGCAGAATATTTCATGAGATAAAAACGTGAATTTTGGGAAAGATTAGGTCAATTTTTTGACAAACTTTACTTCTTTATGACTGATACTATTCTGTACTATGACTATGTATGACATACTGTACTATGATTTTTGTTGTTCCAAATATTGATGTTCATTGAAAGCTAAAATGAGACTACAATCTAGTGGAATTGATCAAAGTCCGGGTCCTTTCATAAGGAAACGTTCTCTCTGCTGTGCCGGGGTGAGTAGGAGTACAGAGCCGGGACATAACCGGACAAAAACTTGGTAATAAAAAGAGGACACCGACTTCATTTGTCTCCCACCAACTGAACTTTAGTATAGTTTTAAAATGAAAAATAACAGTTCAACACAGTGCTTTTTCCAGCTGCTTTTATTATCTCTTGACAGTGAATCAGCTTCCTGTTTGTATCTGGTGATTGTCAATCCTCAGTTTATTCCGGCCTGACTGCAGAATTGAAATTATTGACACGATTACAATGGAACAAACCATTCTGTCCAGTAGTTAAATAAACAGACTAAAAAAAACAATAAAACATAAAGTTTCAATCAAATCAAACTGTGTGTACATGTGTGTGGAGAGAAGCCTGTAAGTGTTACCTGATGAGTATAACTTACTCATCATGTGATGAGAAGCCACCGAGTTGAAACATTACCAATCTATGCTCAGTAAAGAAGTGCAGGTTCTGCTGTTACTGAGTCGTTAATGGAAGTTCAGTGTAAGAAAAGCAAATCAGTAAGAAACGTCTTTTTATTCAATTTACATTTAAAGCTTCTGTTGAAGTTTCTGTCGTCATATTTATTAACATCATCATAAATAAAAATAAATACTTGAATAAAAGAGTTAGTATTTTATTAAATACATTTTCTTTAACGAATGTAACTCCCTGTGTGTGTGTCGTGCAGAAAAGCAGTTTATTGACCGGAGTGAAAATGTTGTTTTTGGAAGGTTAAACACCAACAAATATGATTTTGTTCAATAAGAACTTTTTACTTTTAAACTTTACAACGCTGTGGAATTGGATGTGTTTGGACAACATAACATGTTGCCGGTGAGAGGGAAGTCTGGGTCAGCCTGCTTGGCCTGTTGCCACCGCGACCCGACCCCGGATAAGCGGAGGAAAATGGATGGATGGATGGATGGATCACACAGCTTGGAAACAATCAAACTTTCTACAAATAGTATAATACTATTAATAATAGAGTAGCCTAATCTGTATCCGCAACTGTGAAGAAATAACGGGACGCACAGAATTAATAGAAAACAAAAAAGATGCTCAGCATCCAAATGTTGCTTTAGAATGTGATTGTCGACGTTACGAATGAAGCTTCCAAGTATTCGGTCCTGCCCTGTAAGTCACAGGTTGAACTGACCTTTTCCTGAACATCAACATTGGCATATTTGAGAAAAACAAATTCTTTAAAAATGTCTCTGTGCACAGCTTCGACTTCAAACGTTTCACTGCAAGAGATCGGTGTCGGTCAGAGAGACACTCTGCTGCGATAGGCTGAGCTGTGGGTAAGAGGAGGACGATGATGACGTCACAGTGTGCTGATGTGGAGCCATGCTGGGGCCTCTCAGGAACAGGGAGGAGGAGGAGGAGGAGGAGGGTATGAAGGGTAGAGTGGCAGAGAGGCTGTTGTACTGAGCTCTCTGCTGGCTGCTGGAGGCGGCAGCTGAAACACAAGTAGAAGGTGATGAGTAACACCGTCGGCTGGCCTTCACTTCTGGAGAAAACAAGCGTCTAGTTTGTCATGTGAACATCTGAGCAGCTCAAATCAATGTTCCCAAAGAAAGGAAAAGACCCGACCGACTTAATGTCACTCACGAATTGATTGCATTGATTTAATCTGTCAAACGTTAGACTGCAACTACATACAAGTAATATTTTTATGCAAAAATGGCAGAAAAATGCTGTTTTTAAGCCTCTGAATTATGGGATTTCCTGCTTTTCTCCATTTATATCATATTAAACTGATTACCTTCAGGTTTAAGACTGTTAAAGTCCTCACATGGGACTTTGAGGATTGAGATTTTTCACTATTTTCAGACATTATACGATTAATCTAGAAAATAATCCTCAGATGAATTAATAGTGAACATAATTAGTTGCAGACTCGCATATCATTTGTATAATTGTGATCAGCCTCATTCTGATGCTGTTTCATGCTTGTGTGTTTACAAGCCCTCCTATATAGATCTTCACAGGACATTCCTTCGAGGCGGTAAATAGAATATTCTCTACTTGTGTCTTCTGTGAGCACAAACGGTCCTCTACTTTTTAAAACTATAGACTTAAGAAATATCAGTTTTTAAGCTGGTAAGTTGATATTTATACAGCCAGCAGAACTGTGGCTCTGTGATCTACTAGTAGAACTAATGACATGATCACATGTGTGTCCATGCTGGTGAACTAATAAATCTAACTCCTGTCTGGGTTTTGAGCTCCAGCTCGTCAGCTTGTGGTGAGTTCTTCATGACACACATCTAGACTCACTAGATCCCTCATTGTGATCGGTTTAGTGAGTAACTCTAAACGTGCTCTACTTTGCTCACAGAATGGTGACTACTGAGACTCAACAGCTGAACGGTTTAAGTCGAAGATGTCTTCTTACCACAGGTCACTCTGAGCTGCTGCTGCTGCTGGCTGCTGATGGGGAAGCCAGCTGGAGAAAGACCTGCAGCGCCACCTAGAGCCTAAGAACGAGCGAGACACAGAAGACAGGCTCCGTCTTAGTGGGACGGACGGTTCCTTCTATGTAAATGATACAGAGTGAGGTTTGTATTAGTCAAAACTAAACCATGTTACGTAGCTAATGTATTGACGATGAAGTCTTAAAGTGGGATCAGCTGCTCTGTCAGTGACAGTATTACTGACAAGTAAAGTCCTGTGAGTCCACATTAACACGTCGAACACAGAATGAGCTCCAATGAATCACTGAATGCTTCATTTAAAATTAAACAGAACACAGACCCCCGGAACAACCTGAACGAGGCAGTTGAGAGACCATGTGTACACTAATCAGGACTCTCCCTTGTGTCCGGGACATTGTGTTACTCATCGTATACACCTCTCTGTGATTAAAAAGCCGTAGTCACTACTGACATGGTCCTGGTCAACACAGGCCTGGAGTTTCCTTTTTGCCCTCCATCTGGCCACCCTCAGCCTGGTCTTCTCTCGACGCTCTCGCACCTTCAACACAACAAAATCATCAGATTTTACATTAAATACAGGCGACTGTAAAACGACACTTTGATGGAAAATGTCGCTCTAAACTCTGCAGTCTTCAAACGTTGTAATGTGCACAATGTCACAGATTATTATAAGAACACAGCCGTTATATTATATCAGTAACATTCAGACACCAAATGTATCGTTTACATTTGAAGTAGTTTTGGCCCCAAAAGATTAATAATGAAATGATTAAAACGTCCATTTCGTCTACGTTGCCACAGTGTTGCATGACAGGGAGAATACGGTTGAAACCTGGGATTTTTAATTTGTTTTTCCAGTCCAGAAAAGGCTTCTCTGTGCAGGTGGTTGTGAACGTTTGAATGGCAGTGAACGTAGAAGATTGAGGACAGAGCGTGCTATGAACACTATGGTGGACGAACCAGATTAGCCAGCAGCGGCTGAGGCAGCGTCTTCTCCAGCTCCCTGCGTCTGTTGATGCTTCGCCTGCGGAGCTCGTTCCTGCGCAGTTTGTATTCTTCGTACAGACTGAGATCTTTGGTCCAGGGCCGCACCGCCTGGTGGGGCGGGATGCCGGATGGCAGAGCCAGCATTGACTGCAGGGAGGCCACAGACTGAGGCATCAGATCTGAGCGCACACGCACGCGCACACACACACACACACACGGAGAGGTTTGCATTGACGGGGCTGTTTCAACAAATTACAGTACAGACAAGAGGTAGATCTATACATCAGGTTGCAGGTCTAGAAAATCAATGTTGGCCTCCAGTTATCAAAGCCTAACTAGGGACAACAGCTGCAAATAAGCTTCGAGTTGGAGTGCAGCATACAGGAGGCATTTTTGCACATGTGAATAATAAAGCAGTGATCAATCGGGCTTTTCAGACCAGGGGGAATGAGCAGGGGAACCACGTCTTTGAGATCAATACTATAAATGCAGTTTTGCAACTAGCCAAGCAGTATGAACTCAGAAGCCTGACGTCTGCTGATCTACTCACAGGTGTTTGGTGCGGCTGAGCTGAAGGCTGCAGGGTGATTTCTCTGGCTCGCTGGAAGTCCTAAACACTCCGTCACTGACCGTTGAGCCTGGAAGAACAGACACAAGCACTCATTCTCTTCCACAGATTGTTCTGAAAGGTCTGGGATATTCAGGGCATTCCCGGAGTTATGTTGGGAGGAGGTATCGTTAGAGTTTCTATCCTCATTAAGAACTCATTCATACTCATACCCGGTGGCAGCAAAGCACACTGGTCCCTCTCCTTTCCCAGTAGAAATTGATCTGTCCCCGTTTAAACCATTGACTGAAACACCCACATAAACTGCGCAGAGACACTCTTTTGTTATTAAAAGCAAAAGCATCTTATCTCACAAGAAGTGCCGACTTGGCATAGTCAGATTTGATCTTCAGCTCTAGCCTTACCTCCGACTCTGGAAGATGACCCTGCTGCATCTGGCAGTCCAGCAGAAGGGTGGCCATCACCTCCTGCACCTCCTCTGGCTCCTCCTTGATGCAGATCACCTCCTCTTCCTCCTGCTGCTGCTCCTGGGCCTCCTGCTTCACCTGCATTACAACAGGGACAAGTGTGTCAAACCTTCACTAGGTTTTTTTCTAAAGCTGTGGGTCATCTCGTAGTGATGGGCGCTGTATATTTATTCAGTTTAATAGCTCATTGTCTACTAACACTAAAGAAGCATGTTACTCTGCTGCTGGAACAAGAACATGTTTTGTTTTCATTCAATAAATGACTTAAACACTTCATCAATTATTTAAATTGTTGCCGTTTTGTTTTCTATTGATTCATTATAAGTACTATTTCAGCACTATGTACAGCTGAATAGAAAAATCATCTTTAAAAACACTTTTTTTTTTGGTCTTTTGTTTTGAAGTGTGTTGTCACCTGTGGAGCAGAGTGGAGCAGAGTGGAGCTGTCAGCCTGGGTGGAACCATCAGGGGACCACGAGCCAGCGGCTGACTGCTGCCCCGGATCCAGAGTGAGGGCCCGGACAGGAGGGGCCCGGACAGGAGGGGCCTGGACAGGAGGGGCCTGGACGGCGTCCACGCCTTCCGTGTGTGGCGGCAGAGTGATGGTCCACTCACAGTCGTCCTCCTCAGCCTTGCTCTGAGCGGTGTCTCGCTCTGCGGGACAGAAGAAGACTGCGCACACACATAGTAGTGATTACAGGATACACTGTGATGACGATGGATGATGTGACAAAACGTCCAACATTCACCCTCATCTTTATATGTGGAGGCACGAGCAAGCTGTGATTCAGTGAGACCCATCTTTAATAAATATTAAAATGATAATTAGCATTAGTTGTTAGAGCCTCACCAGAGGGGAATCTTTGAGGCAGAAGCTGACACAGATTTTAGGGGCAAATAATTTTTCTGCATTAAAACATAAATTGACATTTAGATATTGATGTATTTCCACTGTAGTCTCACTGAAGGGAGAGGTGGAAGAAGTACTCAGATCTTGAACTTAAGCAAAAGTATTAATACCACAGTGTAGAAGTACTCTGTTACAAGTAAAAGAGTACAACAAGTACAAAAGTATTAACATTAAAATATACTTAAAGTACCAAAAGTAAAAGGACTCATTATGCAGAATGGCCCATTTCACAATAATTATGAATTATATTATTGGATTATAATCACTGATGAGTTAATGTTGAAGCTGGTAAAGGTGGAGCCATTTTTATCTGCCGGGTAACTTCCTCCAGAGATCAATTAAATTGTATCTTAATCTATAATATTACATCATAATTTATTTGTTGAATATATTTTGTATTATTAATCTGAATCTGCTAAGTAACTAGTAAGTAAGAAGTACATTATTTGCCTCTGAAATGGAGTGGAGTAGAAGTATAAAGTAGCGAGCGCACACACGCACACACACACACACACACACACACACACACACACACACACACGCACACACACGCACACGCACACGCACAGGCACACACACACAACCCCTCGGCTCTGTACCTGCACTACTGTCCAGAGATTCTGTTGGCGTGTTCACAGAGAGGGAGACAGGCAGCAGTAAGTCGGACGTGTCACAGCTAACAACTCCCACGTCTGAATTACCACGCACTCTGATTGAATGCCTGCTCGTGCTGTATGAAGAGGTGCATTCTGGGAGTACAAACACAGGAGGGGTTAGACACTTCGGAGTGGATCATGGATGTATAATCAGAACTGGATACTGCACCGCCGCTCTGCCTTGTTTCCATTAAATTATAAAAAAAACGTCTGTAAGACGGTTAAGATACATCGAACTGCAAACTAGGCCAGTTATGAGTCTGCTATTATGAATTTGATATCCGTAGAGGTTTGATATTTGTTAATTATACAATGTTAAGTCTATGGGCAAAGTGGGAACTTGCCAGAGATCGATTGGGCTGAATAGGCGCCATGTCGGGGTCTGGTATCCAGTTCTTACGATACATCCATGGGACGGACAGCCCAGTAGGAGTGGGTCATTTCCGTGGTCTTTACCTTGGTTGTTTGAAGTCCTGGTCTGAGTGGAGCATAACGAAGAGGCCTCGGTGGAGGAAACACCTGCACCATCTCTCTGTGCCTGGAGAAAGGTGGACGGGTGGATGCGGACCAGAGCGGAGGCAGAGGCTCTCTGCTGCAGCTCCTCCTCCACTCCTTGCCTGTAGTACTTGAGCTTCAGCTCGGTGTAGCGCAGCTTGGCTCGAATGTTGTCATTCTCCTTCTCTTTTTGGACCTTTTCCCTTTGCAACGACGTGATGTCCCTCTTCATCAGCGCCACTTGGGATTTCAGCTCCTCAAACTTGACTCCGACCACTTTGAGCATCTCGGCCAGCACGGTCTCCACGGCCCCGTTCACCGCTCGCTCCACCACGGCACCCATCTGGCCTCGAATCAGCGTCACGGCAATGCTGACATCCATTTTTGGAAGAGACCGCTGACAAGACCTCTTCAAAGTTTTACCTGCATGCAACAAGTACATCACAGTTTAGAAGTGCAATATAATTATTATTATTAAGCTCTTTGTCTTTCCTGATATCAGACAGAATATAGGACACATTTCTCCAACCTTTCGATGGAGTGAGCAGATTCAAACAGCTCTCTGTCTACAAATATTTCACTTAATACAACTGCCTAAATGGAGAGAAAATTTAAAAAATATTACAATACAGGAAATAAAATAAATTACATCAAACACTTAGTCTCAAATATTTGTTAAATATTCTATTTAGATCTGGTGGAGTCATTTCTACTTGAATGAAGTCGCTTGTTGTAATCAAAGCTTCTCTTTGTTTACATTCATTTTAATGCAACAGTCAATCTTTTGTGCCCGGCTTGCTAGCTAATCGCTACCAGTCTGCACTGCACTCATACGGCTAATACTGGTATACTATGGAGCTTTTCACACACGATATTGTGTTCATTTCATGATATACAACTGATAACAGCAAACATCAGATTAATACTCTGCATTAGTTAACAGGCCAACACAAAATGTTATTGGTGCAAATCAAAGAACTATAAACAGGTTTTTAGATTATGTATTTTGTGACATGTCAGAGACAGGATGACCAGCAACATGGAGATGCTAAAGACACAATTGTTGGTGCAATGAATATGACGTTGTGTAAATGCAGGGTGACGTCACAGAAACATCTCTTTGACTTGTAGTTTAAGATAAGAGATGAAATAATAAGATAATCCTTTATTCGTCCCGCAGCGGGGAAATGTACAGGATTACAGCAGCCAAGTGGATAACAAACAAGAGACATAGTAAAAAAACAAGATCAAAACAAGTATCATAAATAAGTAATAAAACTGTAAAGAATATTAAAAAAGTATAAAATCCACAATAACTAAAATAGTATATATACAGACAGAGTAATTGTTGTGTTGCAATGTTATACATACAGACAGAATAATGTTTGCATTGCACAGTGTATTTATATTGCAGGTTTTTAATGTTGTTAGTGTTTGTGTGGTCTACTGGGAGCAGAGCTGGCTGTGCAGCCTGACAGTTCAACACTTTAATTAGATTAGGACCTTTAAATGTCTCGGTTAAGAAACTCTATCTGACACAGTCAAACTATGTTGAACTATTAGGATGAAAGAGAAAACATTTTACTTACCACTTGTGTGTGTTTGTGATGCTATCTGGGTGCTAACTTAGCTAAGCTAGCTGAAGCTAACCCTCTAATAGAACGTTACGTTAGCTAACGTCAGGTAGCCACAGAATTCACAACACCAGCTAGCTATAGTTAAACACTGTTTCACTACTTATGATCCAGTTTCATTCTCAAAGATAGTTTCTTTCGACATAAACTCGAGAATACGTCTGACCAATAGTATAGTTTTGCCATCATAACGGTTTAGTTCCTGGATGGGTGACGTATTTCCGTTTCCGGGTCGTCTGTTGGCCAAGGGCAGCGCCCCGGCGTTACAGTTAATAATTAAAACAATATTCAGGTAGAAAGGTAAGAAGTTAGACTCTAGTTTAACACTATTGAAACAACATCATTTATATCAGTATTTTAAGAGGATTCATATGTTTTATTTATATATATGGTTATAGAAGCAAACCCCGTGGCGCAATGAAAAATGATTTGTGCAAACACATTGCTTAATTAACTAGTTGTGACTGACTATCTCGTCACAGTTTCGTCATTACCACATTAGTTAAAAACATCAGCTGTCAGAAGTGGAATTCAAATTGAATTCATGGTACCGTAAATAATTTATTGAACACATGTCGGAACCAGTATCATAAACTGAGTGACACTCTCTTGACACTATGCTTTACCAATATGTAGAAAGCCTTTTGTTTATTTTCTTAATTTCAAGTTTCGGTCTCCACCGTGGTGCAGTTAGTTTAATTGCTCTTTCAGGATAATGAAGGAAATCACCTGCTGACCGCTGCCACTGTAACAACTTGCACATCCAAGTAACCTCTAAAAAACTAAAGCTATTCTAACAGCAAGCATTACAAATGCCTATTGATCATTTTTACTGAGGTGTGAGGTATTTGCTTAGAGGAGCATCCCATCCCAACACACACAGTCGCTGCTGGATCATACACTAATTAGCTGTATGACGTGTGGCCGTAGCCAGCCCTGTTCTCTGACGCCTGTTCACCCCTGGGGAGGGTAGAGGACCTAATGACAATCACTACAATACGCCTACATCACCTCTGGGCTTGTGTTTAACCCAATGCTATTGAAATTACTGTATTGAAATACGTCTGACGGTGGGCTATTTACATTATATTTTACATCATGGTGACTGGAAAATTTGTTTCAATAAATCCCTCTGACACACACACACACACACACACACACACACACACAAACACATTAAAATCTCGTGGTTGCGGTGACTCCTACTTTCTTTCTCCTACATTTTATTTGAGTGTATAAGAAATAAGAAGTCACTTCACACCATAACAAGAAATTTTGAAGTTGTCCCTGGTTTTCCAAAATTGGGTAACGTCCTAAATCTAATCTAATGTTACATTCTGATGCTTAATTAAACTAATTGTGTCTTATAGCTGAAGCTAAGTGCCATAACTTGTCTTCATCCTCTTACACTGTTTCATGGGTTTATGATTCATAATTGATTTATTAATAATTGTTACATATTAATGATATTAACTCATTAAATCTGCGACAAGCAATAATGCTACAGGATGGAGTATGGATGTGATCCTTGTCTCCCATTTGATTTAATGATCTTTCAAAATAAGTTAAACATTTCATCAAACAAAAAACGTTTCCCACTTGTCAATCATGTACTCAAATGGAGGTTAAAGGTCAGGGGTGATGGTCTCAGCTTTAGCTGGATTTAGACCCAGTAGTTGTAACAGAGTGAAATAAGAGTAGATCCACGGTCTGGAGATACCCTGAGTTTTCTCCAGACCTCCAGCCTCCAACACGAGACCCCTTTTAAAGGCCAACTGCTGCTGCAACAGCGCCATCTGTCTGCAGGAGAGAATGAGAGACACACAGAGAGAGCTGGATAATTTATTGCTCATTTACTTTAAGTTGCTCTGAAACATTCTTCTGAAAAATCTGAATGTTTATAAAATAATATGAACATATAATAGCCCCAGTTTAAAGAGACAGACACATGTATATACCTGGAAAGCAGCTCCGCCTGAAGCCTGGCCTCCTCTTCTCTCCTCTTATGCTCCTCCTCTTTGTTCCTCCTCTTCTCCTCCTCCTGCTCCTTCCTACAGAGGTACTCTATCCTCTCACCCCCATCCATCTCCTGCAGCTTCTTGCTCTCCTCCTCCTGCCTCCTCTCTTCTTCCAGGCGCAGGCGCTCTAGTTCAGCTGGAGGGGGCAAAATGTCAAAAAAAAGCTGCATTAAACTGTACTACTGCTTCCTCCGCTCTCTTCTTTCCCCCCTGCTTTCTCTTCTTCATCCTTTTCTTTTTCACTCCTCTCTCTTTTTCTCCTCCTCTCACTCTCACCTTTACTCCTCTGTTCTTCCTCCTCTCTCATCCTCTGGAGGCTCTCCATCTGACGCCTCCTCTCCTCCTGCCTCCTCCTCTCTCTTTCTCTTTGCGCCTGTTCCCTTCTTCCTCGCTCCTGCTCCTCTTCCTCGCGCTTCCTCCTCTCCTGCTCCTCCGCCAGTTTTTTCAGCCTGGGGACGTTTATTGAATATTCATGAAGTTGCAGTTGAATCTGTACTTTACGGAGTGAATCTTTATAATGTTAAAGAAAAAAAGTAGGACCTGAGACCCTCAGCCCTCTTCCTCCTCTCTTCCTCCAGCTCGCTCTTCATCTTCTCCTCTGTTTGTTCCCTATCCTGCTGCTTCCTCTCCTCTTCCTCCCGCTCCCTCCTTTTCCTCTCCACCTCCTGCCTCCTTTTCTCTGCTCGCTGGACCAGATGCAGAGCTGCAGCCTCCTCTTCCTCCTCCTGAGTCCTCCTGGGCCTGTAGAACTAAAACACGCACACATACACTCACTCATATTAATTAAAATAAGGGGAATTAGTTCATTTTGAAGTATGAAGAACAGATCAATGATGTTAAACTATCATTCAGGTGTGTGCTTCCTACCAACCTCCGGCTTCACTGGGTTCAGCGTCAGCTGTTCCTCCCTCACCATGACAGTTGAACATGACGACAGGCGGCCACGCGATGAAGCGAGACCCAAGGCGCTGGCAGGCACTGAACCCTCCTCACATGAAGAGGCAGCAGACCTCCTCGAGCTCCTCTGGTTGATACCGGACGCAGCGGCGGCGGACCCGAGCGAGCTCACTGATCGGACACTGCTGTGTTTGTCAGCATCGGTGGAAAGATGCTCTGTCCCCGTGTCCTCCTCTGGATTTGTTTCTGTGTCGTTATTGTGACTTTGTGTTGCAGAGGGCCTTTTGGTGGTTGTTATGTGAGACCCCTCTTGCATTTCCTGGCTGATTTCCACCTCCTCTTTCTTTAGAGGGTCCTCTGAGAAAAGAGAAGGAAAGCGAAAAAGACAGGAATGCAAAGGAAAACACATGCAACTACTTCTAAATAGATGTCAACATTTTGAGCTCACAAATTTATTCTAGATGCAACAAAGCCAGTGTAGGTTTACGAAAAGAGCGTGGTTTATTTATAATTTATAATTTCGTAATTTATTTTGTACAGCCCAAAATCACAAATATGCCTCAGAGGGCTTTAAAATCATCCTCTGTCCCGGGACCCTCTAATCGGTGGAGGAAAAACTCCCCAAAAAACAAGGAAACAAACAGGAAGGTGGTTGACGTCAACTTCACTGACTAACGACTCACGTGACTAGCGAGTGACAAAGAAGTCATGTGACTAATGTGACACACGACGGATGTGCGGCAAAATGTCAACTTTTACTTTTGGTGTCGGACACGAACAGCGGTCTCCTGAGTGAAAGTCCTTTGTTTGTTTGACCTATCTTCCTCCCCTCCTGCCTGCCCTTGCTCTGAGTGTCTACTAATAACGCGGGTGGGTTTACATTGCAGTTAGTTGCACACATCGTCGTCGTCGGACACTGAGGAGCACTGACCGCACTGCTGTATTTGACGCAGGTCCAGAGTTCACCATTTGAAATGGCAGTTGTTGACGATTTAAAACAAATGTCCAAGTCGATGTGTCACGTATAATTATTGTGCCTGAATGATTGCGATTTCTTACCAACAACTAACTCTTTGTGCTTCAGGCTTCCTCTCTTCCCCCTCCTCCCTGCAGACTCCTCCTTCTGCCTCCCTACTTCTCCTCGCTCGTTTCTCTCCTCATTGGTCTTGACTTCTCCTTTTTCTCCTTCCCTGTCTTTCATCCTCTTTTTCTGAAAGACAGGAAAGTGATTGTAAACCTGAATGGCATCTCATTTCATGCATTCCTTGAGATAAATACAGGCGTCTGTACTTGATTTGTATTTAACACTTTTGATTTTACATGCTTTATAAACAACAAACGTCTTTAACACTCACCACAGAAGGGAGAGCAGATCGGCCCTGAGTCTCTGCTGCCTCTCTGTTGGTCCGCTCCTCTGGTTTCTGGCTCCTGACTGATCGAGTATCACTTCCTGTCTTCTGCCTCTGCCGTCTTCCTTCCCCCCTCGTCCTTGATGTCTTCTGTCCATCTGATGCTTCACTTTTCACTGTTTTCATCTCCCTTTCCCTAAATAAGTGGAGGACATGGGTATGGGTGAGTTTGTGCTGCTTGTTACTCTATGTGTTTAAAAAAATAAAAATCACGGTTCTTACAAGAATCTGTTATGTTTTAATCTCATAAGAGTTTTTGAGTATTCATCGTTCACCCTGTCGAAGTTGCTTCCTCAACGTTCTTCCTTTTCGTATTCGTCCCCCTTTTGTCCACAGCGCCCTCTGTTGTTGCTTCATTTGGGCTGATGTTCTGCTGGCTAAATGATACATCATCTTTAAACAGCTGCTTCTCTTAGGACAAACAGACAAATTCAAATTGTTTCCAGTAAATAACCATGCACAATGCCATCTATTAGCAAGATGGAAATTTAGGAGCTCCACTGGTCAGAAATCCTACGCAATGATATCAATGGATCAACCTTTATCCTGCGGCGACAACAGAGGGACAAATTAAATGTTGGTTGAGTGAATCTTGAGTTGCCATGCAGTTTTTGAGGGGTGTGACTGGGATATGGGGACATATTCACTCGCAGAAAAAGCTCCCACTGAAAGTGCTGGTCTTTTGCTTTACACGTGAAAGTATTTAATAACTTAACTTGATTGTATTCGTCTTTAGGAAACAGGACTTCAAATTCAGGAGTTTTGACAAATTTGGGCAACTCAGCTCAGCTAACCAGATAAAAGTGAAATGACCTTTGGTGCAGAAGAAGAAAGGCGGAACACTCACCTTGATTCTCGGTCTTTGAAATCAGTAATGATATGAGAAGTCTTGGTGTAATCACAAACGTTACATTTTTTTGAGTCATCTGCTACTGAAGGAACTTAAATAACGTACATACATTAAGTTAAATATGAATCACACCAACCCTGGCTGACGTGATCCAGACAAATGGCTAGTCTGTCCTGTGCTGCTCAGCTCTTCCTCTTCGTCCTCCTCTTCTGCCTCAGTGTTGCCTCCTCTTGGCTCCTCCCTCCTTTCCTGCTCCCTTAGTGGAGGCATCCTTATATTGTTTTTAGCATCCTTTCCCCACATTTCCGACGCTGCTTCTGCGCCCTTTGTTTTTTTCTTGGACACAGCCGCTGGAACGTCAAACCAAAAGTTTGGTTAAATTCATTCAAATTCAAATTATGATAAAATAGCAGCAGAGATTTACCTGTGTCTGTATGGCTGCTTGGTGAGCATACTTCAGTCTCTGTCAATCTGGGAAGATCCAAGACCTGGTTGGAGAACAGAATTTTTAAATTTGTGCTAAATTCTTCGTGCTAAGCTAGGCCTTTACAAAGACAGTCAAAAATCACAAATCACCTTGTGCACGGACTGATGTTGCTGGATGACGCCCACAGGAACATCTGTGTTCAGCTCCACCTCTCCCTCTGCACACATCAATGAGCAGGCAAAGGCTTAGAGCAGGAAGCAAACACAACCAGGGCTACTTTTATTACTAAAAGGAATACTTGATTTATGTCGAATGTAAACAGTGATACGCATGAGCCAAGTTAAGCCCAATGGCATGACAGCCAAACCTGGAAAAAGCCGGTTGCAAGCTACATCAGCATTTGCTCAACCTGTCCAAAGTTTATTTTGTAATGGACACTGGAAGTCCATCCAAGTAACATAAACCATGACAAAGACAAGCTACAACCTACACGTCTCTCCTCAAGATAAAGTGCGCAGCTTTTGGATTTCCTGAAGGAAGAAGGACGTTTTGAGGGCTCATTGCGTGTACCTTGCTCCCGTGTGTCACCATCAGTGTGAGATGTGTCCTGGCTGTTGTCGTACAGCGACAGTTGTATGATCTCCCCATCAGGACCCAAGATCAGGCTGCCAACTGATTTGTCGTTCTGCAAATCTGACACAACTCAAAAAGGAGGTGAACTCATATATGCATAGTAACATTTTGAAAACATGAACTTAATGGAAATATATTAAATATAGGTTAATATATTTTTACTAACTCCATTGGTGGTCACTTTCCCGTTTAAATGGTAATTGCTCTTTAACCTGGACCCTGTTCCTCCATGTTTTTGTGTCTAACGGTTCTTTAATTTGGTCCAGTATGGAAGGAGAACGCTGCATGGTAGAAAGGCTCAGATTTTGTCTGACAACATTTTGGAAAGGACTTTTCTTAACCTTTCACTTGATGCGGCCTGTTTGTTATCGTGTCATGTTGCCAGAAGACAACGGTGGAAACGTGAGTGAGAGTTGGAGAGAGGAGGTCAGAGTGTGTTGTGTTGGAGTACAGACTGCATAGTTTAGTGTTATCTAAAAGATGTTCAACGTCATGGCTGAATATTTAGCTGATTTTTGTGGATGCAACGTGAGATTTCAGAAGGAGACTTCTCGGAGGAAAACACAGACTAACAAACAGACAAGATCAAGTGAAAGGTAAAGAAAAAATGTTTTATTTCTCGTTAGCGAGACTTATAATAACAATCTGAGCCGTTCAGTGGCAGAAACAAGCACTTTTAGTGGACGTACATTGACGGTGAGGAGTTTACCCGAGCTATTGCATTGTAGCCCGTTTAGCGACATGCCATCTGCAGCGTTCTCTCTCAATACTGGACCAGTTTCAAAAATTGTTGCCACAGTAGTTTAGCTTCCCATACCTCTCAGCTCCAGCGGCAGAACACCCCTAACCACGCCTCTGTTAGCGTGCCTGGGTTCACAGGGATCCTGGAGGTCGGGCAGTCGGTTCTGTAAGAAGACGAAAGAGCTCTGTTTGCCCGGGCCTTTCCGCCTTGCAACCCAACCCAACACTCCTACTGGAGGAGGAAGCTCTGGAGGAGAAGACAGTGTGATGGACATGAAGAACACGGTGAACTTTTGCAAAAAATATTCTCCAAGTGGAGTGTATCCCTCGGGATGTAACGCAGAGGACTTTGTGCTTTTCATGCAATACGTCTATGTGTTCGATCCCCAACATACACTCTCTAAGAAGTAGCAGTGGTCATCCCACCACTGAGTGACACAGGGATGTCTCAAAATGTGCAGAAAACTGTTTGCTATTAAGTAATTTGTTAATAGATTAAATAAGCATTTTTCTGTCAGAGGAGCTCAGTGGTTAGGTTTGGCTTATTCATGTGTGAGGTCCTGTGTTCAATCCTCCAGCATTCTTTAAAAATATTTTAAAGGATCTTTAGAAAAGAGACATATGAGTCACAAAACAAGCAGCATGAGGACGCATGAAGAGGTAAGAAAATATAATAAACATGAATAACCAAAATCTAAACAGAGCTAACGCTAAAAACGATATACTCTGTGCTGTCTTGTATTAAGGCTACTTTATTGGAATGGAATTCTAGGATCTCTTATAGAGACATCTATGACTGAATCTAAACAGCAGCGTAAAGTGCAGTATGTGTGTGGTTTACCTTCTCCTAGTTCCAGCAGAATCATAGAGCCTTTGTCAGAGGGTAGTCCTCCTCCTCCTCCTCCTCCTCCTCCCTGCCCTACTGTCTCTTTTTTATGATATTGTCTCTCTGTTTTCCCCCCTCCTCCTCTTTGCTGTCCACTTATCTCTTCTGAAAGACAGAGGGAGATCAATCAGAATACAGCATCTGTACATCGACAAATGAGGTTAGCATAGTTATGATGTCCGTGTTTACAAAGTACACTACATCAAAACGAATTCCACAACACACACTATCTCATGGAGAGATTAGTTATTATTACTAAATATGTCTCCCTGTATTTGCGAGGTCTAACTGTCGTGTAACTATCATTTAGGCTTCAATTTGATGTGACACATTGCATTGTGGGATTTTTTGACTAATAAGAATGGAAAAAACGATGACAATAACTTTCGTGGTTCTAAAAAAATACTTACTGATGAGTAAGAGCTCAGATTATCGCTAAAAAAGGTTACAATATTGTAACCCTAGTTCTATAAGCACAGGCGGAGCTCTCTTCTGGACTTTATGGGTAATACTCTCCTCCATTCATGAGCATGCAATTGCCCAATAAGAATTGGAATAAGCGTAGCCGCTCAATCAGCATTTGCTTAACGAAAGACGTGCAGAGCAGTATATAAAGTCTCTTCAGTGCAAATCTTTCCTTTAACTGAGTCAGTGTGTGTGTAGTCTTCCTAGTGTAGAAGTGTGTCTTTGTTACCCTCGTTCCCTGGAAACAGCAGAGGAAGAAACAGAGACTGCTGATGGAGTCTATTCAGATTTTCTTGCGATTGAAACCCAACTCTGTCTGCCTTTGGTCGGGCATCCTGTTGGGTCTGAGCCTGGATTCCCCAGCCGGGGGGATCCGTATGACTCTCTGCTATGGGAGGTAAGCGTCTTCCATGGTGTTCATCACTGCTGGGACCCTCCCATCTCAGCTGAAACATTCAACAGAGGCGTGTCTGCTATTTGGAAGTTTTGCTCTCAAATACGATAATGCCAAATGAGGAAAATTAGGATTTCAGTCAGTATTTCAATACAACCAATATTAATACTCTGGAGATGAGAATATACAAAAATATGCACATACACACCTTTGCCTATTTCCATTAGTGCAGTTGTCAACTGTCGCAGTACAACATCAATAGTATAGTGATGGAGTACTGCCAATAAAACTAAAAATGTTTGTATCAAAGATGTAGGTAATTAATTATAATTTCTTGTGGTGCCTCTATCTAGAGTTCTGAGAAGAAACATGTGGAATTATACATTTTCACTGGATTTAATCAAAATGTGTCAAATACTTGCAATTTTAGACACATACAAAAACAAATCCCTCTCAATCATCACTTATGACCCACTAGAAGTGTGTGGCGGTGTCTGTACCTGCAGAGACATTGCCTTTGTCTATATTTTCTTGTTCGGGATGTTTCTGTCTTCTAAGAGGAAGCTACAAAAATGGCTGAAACAGCACCATCACGCCCTCTGCTAGCTTGCCTTGTTTTGCTGGACACTGGGTGAGCCCTGAGCTGCTGATACACTAATGTTTTGGCCTGACAGTGGTATAAACTACTGTCTTACCCCATCTTGTCTCTCCCAACAGGGTCCATTACAGATTGAATGTCCCAGTGTCAGAGGAGGAAGGAGGCCTGTGTGCGGGGAAGGCAAACAGAGCATCATGGTTATCAACTGCAGAGGAAAAGGTTTGGTCCATGCTCCACATAGTCTGACTAGAGAAGAGTGCAGTTTTTAATTGACACATACTGAAGAGGAAGATGAGTAGATGCAGATAACTTGTTAGCATTGCAGGACATCTCTTTGACTTACATTCATTCACATTGGCTTGGGACATACATTTTTGCTTTCAAGACACACACCTCTCCTCCCGTGTCTGTTCCCACTTATCGGTCTTTCATAGTTGCCTTCATCACTGGTCATTCCACTGTCTTGAATGGAACAGCCTTCATCATCTGCCATGTCTTGGACCCAGTTCATGTCTGGATGATGGAGCTCTCCTCCCATAATGTGGTGTTTTATTTCAGTGTGCTGCAGACCAATGTCTACACTCTGCAGTTGGTAGGAAAGACATTTGGACAATAAATTAAACATCATAGCATCATTAAAACAGTTATACATACATTTCAAAAGATAAAAGGGCATTCACACATGTCTATAGATATAACTTTAGTCAGTAGCATGTCACCTGAGATCCTTCTGGTTCCTCAGGGGTCACTGCTACATAGTGTACCCAGGGATGAGGCTCCATCTGTGTAGTTGGAGTCCTGGAGGTGCAGGGTATCTGGAGGAACAGATCCAGCCTGACCCTCTTCCTGCTGCCCTGCTCCTCCTCTTTATCTGCAGAGACGCTTTCAGGATCTAAGCATACTGGGTAGCATACAACAAGTTTGACTCGTGCACTTGGTTAGTTTCATTTCAGTAAGAAGCAAACAGTAATGTAAATAAAAGCAACGTTTGTAGATTTTTTGCTGTTCATGCTGCATATTTGGTTGTTTTTTATATCAAATTTGTTCTGTTTACCTTACTCACAACAGCACTTAAGAGAGTTTCTGTTTTGGACTTTGTATCACCACTTATATCAGTTTGTATCAACCCATCTGTCCATCTGTCCATCTTTTACCTTCAGGTTGATTATCCAGTTGTACAGTGCTTCTCTTTGCAGGAAGCCACAGGGGGTTCAACTGGGCAACCGACTCTGGACGGAGCTGCTCCTGCGTCGTGGGCGATGCAGGACTGGGATGAAGGAGGTCTGGAGCAAGAGGGGGATGAAGAGGAGGAAAGAAGAGTGGACCGGGCCTGGAGGTCGTGAACTGGAGGGAAGACAAACACTGAAGTGAAATTATTGCATGAGTACATTTTTGGCCACAAGAAGGCAAAGAACTCCAACACACTCTGACAGATGCACAGGTCTGAGATTTTATCGCCTTATGAAGTTGTTTTAGTTAATAAGCTAACAAACGAGTGTCTATTTTTCACATCCATGACACATTGTCATGACGCAACATTATCATCCCATTATGGTCATGGTGCCACGTCTGCCAGCAAAGGATGGAGACATTTGTAGAAGGACTGAGAAGTAAAAGTTGACTGTTCCATGTAGGAGAAAGAGTTTAGCTTGTTTGCTGAAGAAAAAGGCGTCCTGTTGCTGCTGGAAACAGGGTTGATAAGAGCCCTGAGACCAAACAATAAATGTGTTGTAAATCCAAAACAATGAACTAAAACAGGCTGATATACATATACTATATACTGTATATAAATTAAGCTTCCTCTCTGTTGACGTAAGACAGGGCATTTACCTGAGTGTTGCTGCAGCTCAAAATGGCTGCCGATAACTCCTTGACGGTGCTCAGCTGCTGTGCCACTTGTTGAGTGTACCGCCGAACAACCCTCTGCTTCCTGTCTCTGGTGTCTGAGTGACAACTGCTTTCCATAGAAACCAAGTGCTGGAGAGAGAAGAAGGTCAACCTGAAAACAGAGCCCTTGGTTTCTGTAAGTCAAAGGTTTATGTAGCTCAATATGATGTTTCCAGGTGTTCGTTTCTGTCTCGTTAACTGTGCCTGGACATATTTGTTGTGTACCGTGTACTTGCGTAAACACACACAGATACCTGGGAGTACAGTAGAAGTGGCCCCCTTCGGGTGCTGTAGGTCTTTGGAAGGGCTGACTCTGCCTCCACAAGCAGACGGCCGCTGTTGGATAGACGAAGCAGAGAGTGCTGGGACTTCCAGATGTAGTAATCCTGTTGGTTGATGGAACGATGATATTGATGATGAATGGCACGATTGATTGATTCAAGTAATTGATTGATTAAATGATCGATGAACAGATTTACTGGTTAAAGGTGCTAAATTCCAAATTCAGAACCTATCAATGATTGAGGGATTGCCTCCACACGGCTCTCAAAATGGCGACTGGCCGAGCAGTTAAAGATGCTAACAGGACAATCAGTGCAAACAACAGCAACAGAGCTAACAGTGTTAACCTGAGGGGGAACCGAAGGGTGGGCGTTACGTCTCTGCGACGCCTCTGCATGTCGTGCCGGCACTATGACAGTAAGGAGCGACTTTAGCTAGCCGGTGCTGCACACACACACACTGGGACTCACATGCACGTGCAGCCAGTACCGGATACATAAACGAAGCACAGAGAAACTGGAATTACAGAGAGTGACTTCATTCTCTGCTTATGTAGTCATTTCTCCACTATATCTTTAGATAGCAAATAGTTGTTTGCTGCTATATAAATGCTCCGACTTTCGAATTCAGCACCTTTAGTTGGCTGGTTGACATAAATGTGAGGATGAAATGCAGATACATTCCATAACAAAGACAAAGTGAGTGTTTACCTGCGGTGTGAAGCAGACGTCCAGGCGTCCATCATGTCTCCCAGTGTTTCCTTTGTGTGAGACAAATCGACCACACCCCCGACTCAGCAGGGACAGGGGCAAATCCTTCATAATGTCTTATCGTCCTGGAGGATGGCCGAGTCAAGGAGGACAGGGCTCAGTTAGGTCATTCCATAGATTTCAATAATGATGATAGTTGTCTTTCCGAATGACACTGACTTGATTTGGTAAAACAAAACTATTGTGGAGTTTTCTCTTCTCCCTGAGTCTGTGTTGGTTTTGATTTGCATGTCAGATCAGGGCTCTTAATTGGCAGTAGGTGTGAGTGTAAGTGTGAATTAGTCCTTTGAAATGTGTGTTGGTACTGTGAGAGACTAGTAACCCTCCAGGTGTACCCTGCTTCTTCTCACCCAGTGTGTGATGGGTTAGGCTGCAGCCCACTGCAACCATAAGGGTATAAAAGGACATGGCTGAATGAATGAGGAAGATGCATGCATGTTGAGCATAACAGATTTACAGTTAAATGCACTTCTTATTCAGCTGTTTTGTGAATGTTGAGCTATATGAATAAAGCTTATTACTCTTGATGTTTTATCTTGTTATCCAGAAAAAGAGCAGTAAATACTGTACTGTGACTGCGATGAGCAATAACCTCTAATGAGGCACTCGGTATAGATATAGTTTAAGATAGAAAATAGAAACGCTATTGGCACCAATGCTAGGGACAATATTGCCTTTATGCAACAGCTTGATATAAAGCAGATGGCACATGGTATACACGAGAAAGACTTCCAGTGAAAGTCATGAATAATCAAGCTTTTAAGTTTAATATAGTCCTTATTCAGACTGACGGAGTGGATATACATCAGAATAAACTTAACTACCTCAATCACCAACATTAGAAGGAAGCAGTGAGGAGGTCAAGGATTGCATGAAATAAAGTCAAGTCGGTCAGGAAGCGAGATTTAGATTTAGTGTGTCGGTATATTTAGTTTATCAGCTCACCGTCACATTTTCTTGATTTGGATCATGTTTAACAGCAGAAATAAGTATTAATAAAGAGAAAAAAATATTGGACGTACCTGCTGTCCCCCTTACAAAGACTGCCCTCTGTGTGTATGCCTGTGTGTGTGTGTGTGTGTGTGTGTGTGTGTGTGTGTGTGTGTGTTAAATCCCTGTTGCTAGGTTGAGTTGGTACTCTGTGTTTCTGTTGCCGTGGCTGCAGAGACATATAGTGGAACACACACACACACACACACACACACACACACACACACACACACACACGTAGACAAAAGGAACATGATACTTTTAAATCTTGCCTCCAGTCCAAGTAACACAGTATACTAACACACAGTACTGTGAGAACACCTCATACAAACCAAGGCATTCTGCTGTGACAATAATGCTGTTTGTCTTCACCAATGCCTCTGGTAACATTGTTTTGTTCTCCAGTCTCACCTTGACAAATAACTGCAAATGTTTCTCTGATTGTTTATGTCACAATCAAATAAAATAAAAAGTATTGTGTTTTTTTAACCTCTGTGCTTAATTTACTTGGATGATATTATTTTTACCAGCACATTGCATCATGATAGTAGCAGAAATGAGAGTAATTGGAAAAACATAATCATCCAGCTTTCACTAATTGGCATATGAATGCTGAAGCCTCCCGTTAATTGTTCGGGTTGTGCCCAACTGGGCCACCAGTATAAGCCTGACCACTTGCCAGTCAGCTGCCCTCCTGGGCCTCGCTTTAGGGGGGGGATGCCCTGCCACTCTGTGAGGGAAACTCATTGTTATCTCTTTCTTTTAGTCATTACTGTAGGAGCCATGATCTATTGTTTACAGTTTTTGTATTTGATTCTTGTTGCAAAAGTAAATTGTGTTACGCCCTTTAAAATGTTTAGTATACAATCTAATTAAGGTAATTGGTCATTTTGCGGAATGTGCTTTGCTGTGTGTTTTGCCATATTAGGTGAAAGCTCCTTATACTGTCTTGCTATTGGAATATTTTTGGGTTGAATTTAACCTTTAAGTGTGATTAGTGCAAGTTAAGCTTCGATGGAGCAGGATGTGGACCAACAATTTTTCTGACCGCAGATTGTAGACTGTATTTCAGTTATTTTCAGCAGATGGTCAGTTTTTGATAGACCATCATATTATTTTCGTGGCATAAACTACTTTTCACGCACTACGAGCCTCATCATTGGATAGCTGACCATGGGAAGTGTAGCCTGCAGAATAGGACATTTGAGTTGTACATGGTAGTCTACATGAGTCAGGACCCTCTACATCCTGCAAGAAGTGGCGAAGAAGGTTTTTAACAAGTTGCAACTACAATAACCAGCGGGCCCCTGAAAGGTGTTAATGGACTCTTCAATACGGAGGAATGAAAATGCATCCTTGCAGTTCTTGCTGTTCAAGAGTTCAAGAGCCATCAATATTTTTTACCAGTACAGTGAGGGAGTCAAAGGGGCTACTAGTTTCCCTGATAACCTGTGCCTCAAGGAGCTGGTGGTTGTGGGTCTCCACTGCCTCATACTCTGAAGGAGTGATGTGCCTATATCTTTGAAGTACCCAATCCACTAAAGGAATATCAAAGGGAAAGAGTGCAACCTACATCTCATGGGCAGAAAAGACACCACTGAACTTTTGCAGTAAGGACCTGACCTGACACTGCTCCGGCTCGATAAGTGCTGTTAGATCAGCTGCCTCAATACAGTCTGGGATGAAACTGTGGCTGAGACTTCCCTCTCCTCAAGACCTGCGGGTAGGCTCACCAGGTGGGTACCTAGAACAGTGAGAACACACCCTGGGTCCCTACATTGTCAACGGGGATGTAAACAGTAACTCCCATTACACGGACTAGCGCTGATGATGCTAGTAATTCTGCAGGCAAGCCATTACTAAGGGGCTCAATCACTCTTGGTTTTTTTCGGTCATGGGAATAGTGGGAGGAGTGAGATACTATTGGCTTCATGACTGAGAACTTGGGTCACAAAGCTGCCAGAGCTCAGCAGCCTCTTGCCTACTTTTCTCTCTCTGATGATGGAGACACTGGAAGGAGCTGAACTTTGCTTTCCACAACTACTCAACACCTCCTGCAAGAAGCCAATGCAGCATCGTGCTGAGAGCATATTCCTTTACGTCCTTCTGTCTTGCATGTCTCTGCTCACTGTGGCTCTCAACTTGCTGGTCATCATCTCTATCTCCCACTTCAGGCATAAAGAAAAGCTTACAAACATATCGTAGAATATTGTTCACCTCAATATCAAGCACTTCATTTTACAAGAGTTGGGACAATAGATATATTGTTACATTAATGCAGTTTATGAAAATAACTTTTTGTGATGAGATGTTCAAACAATTTAAATGTGTTGGATTCAGCAAAAAGTATATGTCTCATAGTACTCTTACAACTATAACTGTGTGTGAATGCATTAAGGATATTAATGTTGGAATCTAAGCTGCTGCATGCTGTCTAACCTAGAAATGTACAATTTATAGAAAACTTTATGTTTCCAAGTTAAGATACAAGGAGCCATATGTGCTATCAATCTTTGCTTATTTGAAAAATACTACTACATGTTCTATATAGATTGTATTTGGTCATATTTAATTCATTTGACTATTCATATTTTTACAGATTACAATGTTCTCATGACTTCTACAATTGCTGCAGATAATAATATGTTCAGTGATGATATTCTTCCTCTCCAGGCAGCTCCACAGCCCCACCAACCTCCTCCTCCTCTCCCTGGCTGTCTCAGACTTCCTCGTCGGCCTCCTGCTGATGCCGTTTCAAATCCTCCTTTTAGGGGGCTGCTGGTTTTTGGGGAACACGATATGTGGACTGTTTTACTACGCCTCTTTCATCCTTACATCTGCCTCAGTAGGAAACATGGTGCTCATATCGGTTGACCGATATGTGGCCATTTGCGACCCTTTGTGTTACCCCACCAAAGTGACTCAGAAAAGAGTTAAAATCTGCATTTGCCTGTGTTGGATTTCTTCTGTTTTCTATAATGTTTTGATACTAATAGACTTCCTGACACAACCAGATAGATATAGTTCCTGCTATGGAGAGTGTGTGGTTGTAATCGACTTCATAACAGGAGCTGTTGATGTGTCGATGACCTTTGTAGGCCCCATTTTTGTCATCATAGTTCTGTACATGAGAGTGTTTGTGGTGGCTGTGTCTCAGGCTCGAGCCATGAGGTCTCATATTGCAGCTGTTACACTCCGGGGTTCTGTTACAGTTACCGCTAAGAAATCTGAGAGAAAAGCAGCCAGGACTCTTGGCGTTGTTGTGGTTGTGTTTCTAATATGTTTCTGTCCTTACTTTTATCCGTCTTTTGCGAGCCAGGAGATGTCAACCAGTGTGGCGTTTTCAATTTTTGGGGTCTGGCTACTTTATTGTAACTCCTGTCTAAATCCAATGGTATATGCTTTTTTCTACCCCTGGTTTAGGAGATCTATTAAACTCATTGTCACACTTCAGATACTGCAGCGTGACTCCTGTGATGCCAACATAATGTAGATATGGATGTAGAGTGAATAATATGATGGAAAAGTTTGTTGTTGCTACTTCAACAGCCAACTAAGTGCTGATAGAACAAAGGACAAAATATGAAAAAGAGTTTCAAGAGTCGGCTCTTCATTTTATGTTTTAGCTCAGAACCTTTGTCGAGTTGTTGTAACTGGTAAATAAAGAGCAGATTTATCCAGCTTTAGAGACTTTTTTTTTTTTTTTTACAAATGTCATCGGGTGACTGAATTCAACAACCATTCATCATCATTAATTCATTTATTCTGAGTATGTAAACTAACATACAGTATATGATCATTTACATTTTTTTTCTCTTTATGTTGTTGAAGTAGCTTCAACAAGACTGGTACTTTATTTTTTACTTATTATTTAAGTGAATCATTTGCATCTTTAAATCCTCTTGCAAACAGAGAGAAATCAAGCAAGGTGATATGGGTAAACACATAAATGATGCAAAATTGGAAATGCGATGCACTGCAATGACAATAAAGCATACAACTTTGCAATGATTGTGTTATTTTTTCCTTTATTGAAATGATTATTACCTAATGATTATTGACAAGTTAAAAGATCATTTTCTGTGGCGAAAAGTATCAAAAGCTCTGATGCCAATTTGCAGACAAGTTAAGTTATCAGTATTAACAATATAAATAAATCTTGCTCTGCCTGATCAGTGCCTAAACTGCCTTGAGCCTGACGATGAACTCCAGGAAAGACACCTCCAAGACGGGAAACTGACATTTCTTCACCTTTGAGGAAGAGTTTGTTCTCCAGAACGAACACATGTCACATTGCTTGGACCTTAAGATGAAAATGTCATACAGGTAAACAAAAACACAGATGTTAGTCAAGTATCAGAAGACGTCGTTGACCAGCACCTGGAAGACAGCAGGGGCAATGGTTAGACCAAATGGCATGACGATGTACTTGTAATGTCAACTAGGGGAGTTGGACACTTTGTTGCACTTTGAGCCCCTCCCCTAATACACACAGATTATGTGTGTTCCTCAGATATAACTTGAAAAAGTAGATCCTGGCCTGAGGACGGGGCATGTAATACAATGTTAATTTTATTTCTATATTTCATTAATTCGAAAGTTACGAATGTAACTACGGTTCTATGAATCCTTACTGACCACCAGAGGCAGTGCTTAACACTGGATATCTTCTGTCTCGTGCATGCGCAGGTCGAGTCTTTATATCAACAAAGTCACCTGTGTCCTCGGATGACCCCCGTCATCTATAAGTTCCGGTGTCATCCTGAGATCAGTCCTACGGAATCTTCTTGCGTGTTCAGGGGATTCCGAGTGACCAAGAACTCTGGCGGTCATCCAGGATTCATAGAACCGTAGTTACATTCACAACTTTCGTTCTATTTCATCCTTACTGACTGCCAGAGGCAGTGCTTAACACTGGATGACTTATATCAACAGAGTCACGAGGAATCACAGTAACTACCTCGTATAGCTCCGGCAGAGGAAATTGGCCAAAGAACCCTCCCCAGTGGTTGAGGGGTGGCAACGTTGACTCTGTAGTATTTGGTGAATGTGCTCGATGATGCCCATGAGGCCGCAGCACATATATCCT